GGGGTCTGAGATCAGCCAATAATTAAGGAGGTGGATAACTCCACCCCTCTCTATAAAAAGGGGTCTGAGATCAGCCAATAATTAAGGAGGAGGAGGCTAACCCCACCTCTTACTATAAGAAGGGGTCTGAGATCATCTAATAATTGAGGAGGAGGTGGATAACCCTGCCCTTTACTTTAAGAAGGGGTCTGAGATCAGCCAGTAATTGAGGAGGTGGATAAACCCACCCCTCACTATAAGAAGGGGTCTGAGATCAGCCAATAAATGAGGAGGTGGATAACCTCACCTCACCTCTCTATAAGAAGGGGCTGAGATCAGCCAATAATTAAGGAGGAGATGGATAACACCACCCGTTAATATAAGAAAGGGTCTAAGACCAGCCAATAATTAAAGAGGAGGTGGGTAACCCCACCCCTTATTATAAGAAAGTGTCTGAGATCAGACAATAATTAAATAGGAGGTGGATAACCCAACCCCTTACCACAAGAAGGGGTCTGAGATCAGCCAATAGTGGGGGGATAACCCTGCCTTTTACTATAAGAAGGGGTCTGAAATCAGCTAATATTGGGGGAGGAGGTGGATAACCCCGCCCCTTACTATAAGAGAGGGTTTGAAATTAGCCAATAATGGGAGAACGGGTAAATAACCCCAAGGTAGATAACCCCACCCCTTACCATAAGAAGGGGTCTGAGAACAGCCAATATTGGGGGAATGAGGTGGATAACCCCGCTCCCTCTATAAAATAGAGTGTGGGATCATCCAGAGTTTTAGGGCGTTGGATCTGGTGATCGTGCGTAGACATGGAGAGCTCCTTCATAGGAACAGATGATTGGCAAACGGTGTTTCAGTTCTGTGTGTTGCGTTTGTTATTTCCAACCTACGTACTGTATATACGTCCATGGGAAATGGTTTTGATATCAGAATCATGGCTGCCGCTGCCAACAAGATTTGGGGGTAGGTATAATGGCTAAATTCCATGGCGTGGGGTAAGTATTGTAGTATAGAAGGAGAAAGAAGAGGGATGGAGAAAAGACAAGAAGGGAAAAGAAAGGAGAGAAAAAGGGGTATGTAACAGTCCATTAGAACAAGTCCGGTTCGGAGTGAGGTTAGAAGGTCAAACGTGGTATGTCAAAGCTGTGTTGCCAAATCTTCAGGAATGTATTATAAATATCATTTAATATAGTTACGTTTCCTTGTGCCTTTGTACCAGCAACTCTGTTTTTAGTTAAGTCTCAGCTTGAGGAGGACATTTTCATGATTTCACCATAGTTTGCTTAGTTGCCTTAAAATATGAGTAGTCTGAGTTTGTTGGTGTTTGGCCACCATTTCTGTAGACTTGTGTAGTAAGGTCTCCAATGGTTCTTCACCCAGATTGCATGAGAGCACAGTATTAATCAGGGTATACACTCGTATCCAGCATATATTCTCTCGAAGGCAGGTCCACCATATGTGTGTCATGGGGCCCAACTAGAAACTTGGGGGGGTAAGTAGGTATACTTTTAGATAGATGGGCCAGGGTGTAGCACCAGTGGAGAAGCATTTTATATGAATAGTGAAGCGGAAGTACGTTTTTCAATCTTTGAGGTCTCGCTGACCAACTATCCATCCAGTCTTGGTCTATCAACGTAGAACCAGGTTCTTCAGTGTCCACCAGATCCAATGCCCTAAAACTCTGGATGATCTCACACTCTGTTTTATTGAGAGGGGCGGGGTTATCTACCTCATACATTGGGTTTGGTATGCAATGTTGTTTCACGTGTGGAACTTATTGAGAGATGATTGGATGAAGGAAATTAGGCCAGATGAATGGTGATAAGTATTGCCCCGATTTGCGAATGAGGAAAGTGAGAATGTTGATTTCATTAGGCAGTGGACACAATATAACAATTGAACGTAGCAGAGAAATTCGGTATGTGGGATTTTGAAAGAGTCTCGAAGTTATGTCATTCTGAGAATCTCCAAAGTCATTGGAGAGCCACCAATTGAATTGGTGAGGGTTGTTCTTGCCTTGGGGGAAATGTGACCAGCGCAGTAGAGAGGGGAAGGGGGAGGGGGAGGTGAAAGCAATCTGCCAGAACATTTCCAAAACTCTAAAATGTAAGGAAGAGGGGGTATAACTGTTATAACTGGACCCATAACCCAATCTACATGTGCCAGTCACTACTAGGGTCTGCCCACATATAAACCATTTTTATTCCTATCCTAGTATTTTACAGTCCGGATAATTCTCCACCATCTATCTAGAGAAACCGGCATAGTTCACATGACCACATCACTGAGAATGGAGGAGGACCGGAGTCACATGATCGAGAGGATACTAAACCTCACCCTGGAGATCATCTACCTGCTGACCGGAGAGGAGGTGAGGAGGATTCTGGGAGGTCACATGACATCACTCTCATCTCTATTAATAAAACACGGACCTGACTGGGGAGGTGAGGATGATTCTGGGAGGTCACATGACATAACTCTCATCTCTATTAATACAACACAGACCTGACCGGAGACGTGAGGAGGATTCTGGGAGGTCACATGACATCACTCTCATCTCTATTAATAAAACCCAGACCTGACTGGAGAGGTGAGGAGGATTCTGGGAGGTCACATGATGTCACTCTCATCTCTAATAATAAAACACAGACCTGACCGGAGACGTGAGGAGGATTCTGGGAGGTCACATGACATCACTCTCATCTCTATTAATAAAACATAGACCTGATCGGAGAGGTGAGAAGGATTCTGGGAGTCTAACATGATATTCCTATTGGTTCCTCAATACAGAGATTTCCTCTTCTGAAGTCAGGTGATCATATGACCATCACAGTGCCTCCATGTGACTCCCTAAACCCTGAGAGACACAACATGGAGAGAAGATTCTAGAAGTCACCAAGAAGATGATGGAGCTGCTGACAGGAGAGGTGAGCGGTGCCGGGAATTCTGGGACATTCTCCAGTAACAGACAAGGGATGTGTCTGGATGGTGACTGTACCATTGTGTGTGTCAGGTTCCTATAAGGTGTCAGGGTGTCACTGTCTATTTCTCCATGGAGGAGTGGGAGTATTTAGAAGGACACAAGGACCTCTACAAGGACGTCATGATGGACAATCAGCCGCCCCTCACATCACCGGGTAAGAGGAGACTTTATTGGAAAGGAGAGAGCAGTACGGAGGTTCCACCTAGATCCCCCATCATCTGATAAACACATAGAAACAATGGATTCAGTCAGTGTGTGTTTATTACAGATGGATCCAGTCATGGGAACCCACCAGAGAGACGTCCCCATCCTCTGTATTCCCGGGATTCCACACAGGGAGGTCACACCATCCCTCACCATCATCAGGTAGATGGATCCAGTCATGGGAACCCACCACAGAGATGTCCCCGTCCTCTGTATTCCTGGGATTCCACACAGGAAGATCACACCATCCCTCATCATCATCAGGTAGATGGATCCAGTCATGGGAACCCACCAGAGAGATGTTCCCATCCTCTGTATTCCTGGGATTCCACACAGGAAGGTCACACCATCCCTTACTATGATCAGGTAGATGATGAACAATCACTGGTAATTATTACTCATACACAAGCATGTTTGTTACAATAAATGGTTTATTATATATTTAGAATAGAAACCTCAGGGATTTTAACATTATTCTTAAAGAAGAGTATAAAGAGGAGGACGAGGATTATGGAGTGATGAAGTTTTCAGAAGGACACAAGGATCTCTATAAAGATGCTATGATGGAGCCAAATGAGAGATGTCCCCGTCCTCTGTATTCCCGGAATTCCACACAGGAAGATCACACCATCCCTCACCATTATCAGGTAGGTGATTGACAATCTCTAGTAGTTATACTTTATACACGGCATGTTTGTTACAATGAATGTTTTTTATTATATATCTAGAGTGGAAACCTCAGGGATGATCATATTGTTCCTAAGGAAGAGTATAAAGAGGAGGATGAGGAGTATGGAGTGATGGAGGAGCTTTCAGGAGGGCACAATGATATGATAAAGCCACCTAATATGAGAAACCCACCAGAGAGATGTCCCCGTCCTCTGTATTCCTGGGATTCCACACAGGAAGATCACACCATCCCTCGCCATCATCAGGTAGATGGATCCAGTCATGGGAACCCACCAGAGAGATGTCCCCATCCTCTGTATTCCCAGGATTCCACACAGGAAGGTCACACCATCCCTCACCATCATCAGGTCGGTGGAGTTGAGGGTCGGGAACATAAATTGATGGAACACTCTGACATGTGGAGACGATGTGTGGACTCTACAAGATGAGATGTTCTATGTGATCTCACATCATAAATCCTTCTATGTTACAGATGTTATTTTCTGCCATTCTGTTGGTTTAGGGTGAAGATCTGATGAACATGAAAGTTGAGGGTGAAGTAGAAGAGACGTATGTGAGGGATGATCAGCAATATACGGAGGAGGCTGGAATGAGGAGGACATTCATAGAGGAGGACACTCCTACAGCGATCAGCACAGGTGACCAGAATATATTCTTCTCTTATCTCTGCTCTGTTACCGCCCCCCCAGCCCCCATTGGTTCCTGCTCCTCTGACAAGGCGGTGTAAATGTAGAAGTGATCTGGGAGGACCAAAGGCCCTTTGACTGAAGAGGGGAGGAGTTCCAGCTGGTTGGGACATCCACAGAGGACATCTGCTCCTCCTATCTCCCTGATCCAGATGGAATCTTGATGGAAGTGAACTAACCCTCTCCTATCTATTGATGATGTTTTTCTATTTTTCCAGGACCCGCCATGGAGAAACCCTCAAAGGATTGTCTCACTTTATCTCCAGGTTGTAAAATGGAAGATGAGGACATCCCAGGAGATTGTGCCGGAGAAAAGACAATGAGCTCCACTATGGATGGTGGACTTCCCAGTGTGGAGAGACCATGGAGTCCCTCTGACTCTGAGAAACCTCGTACTGTGGGGGATGGGGCCGGGGTTCAGGGGGAGCAGATATATTCCTGTCCTGACTATGGGGAAAGTTTTACAACACATCAGAAATCCCACACACGTGAGGAGCTTCATGCCTGTCCTGAGTGCGGAAAATGTTTTCTTCATAAATCAGTACTGTTCAGACATCAACGATCTCACACAGGGGAGAAGCCTTTTTCCTGCCCTGAGTGCGGAAAAAGTTTTTCACAGAAGTCCCATCTTTCCAGACACCAGAGGATGCACACGGGTGAGAAGCCCTATTCCTGTTCTGAGTGCTGGAAATGCTTTTCGGATAAGACCAGCCTTGTCAGACATCAGAGATTGCACACGGGGGAGAAGTTATATTCCTGCCCTGAGTGTAGAAAATGTTTTTCACAGGGGAGCCATCTTTCCAGACATCAGAGACTACACACGGGGGAGAGGCCATTTTCCTGTCCCGAGTGCGGGAAATGTTATACACGGAAATCAGAAGTTGTCAAACATCAAAGATCTCACACGGGGGAAAAGCCATATTCCTGCCCTAAGTGCGGGAAATGTTTCTCACAGAAGTCTTGTCTTAACAAACATCAGAAACTCCACAAAACCCTTGAGGTGCATTAGTGTCCTGAGTGCGGGAAATGTCTTCTCTATGGATGATATGTTGCCGCAGACCAGAGATCTCACTGGGAAGAAGCACACCTTGATATACACCTCAGAAAACACGTGGCTGAGCACTCCTCTGATCTTTATAATGGAAGAAACACTCTATAAGGAGATCAGAGATCACTAAAGACTTCAAAGTTGTGCCTGGCTTCCTCTGCTAGGAGGGGGGGGGTCACTGCTGGTTGGGTCCCTCTAGCAGTGTAGTCTGATCTCCCCTGACCTTGAGCAGAAGCTTCCATGGAGGACATCATGGTGAGAGAGAAGGAGGGAGGGGTCACTGCTGGTTGGGTCCCACTAGCAGTGTAGTTTGATCTCCCCTGACCTTCAGCAGAAGCTTCCATGGAGGACATCATGGTGAGAGAGAAGGAGGGGTGGTCAATGCTGGTTGGGTCCCTCTAGCAGTGTAGTCTGATCTCCCCTGACCTTCAGCAGAAGCTTCCATGGAGGACATCATGGTGAAAGAGAAGGAGAGGGGTCACTGCTGGTTGGGTCCTTCTAGCAGTGGAGTCTGATCTCCCCTGACCTTCAGCAGAGGCTTTCATGTAGGACATCAAGGTGAGAGAGAAGGGGGGGGGGAGGTGGTCACTGCTGGTTGGGTCCCTCTAGCAGTGTAGTCTGATCTCCCCTGACCTTGAGCAGAAGCTTCCATGGAGGACACCATGGTGAGAGAGAAGGGGGGGGGGGTCACTGCTGTTCTGGTCCCTCTAGCAGTGTAGTCTGATCTCCCCTGACCTTCAGCAGAAGCTTCCATGGAGGACATCATGGTGAGAGAGAAGGGGGGGTGTCACTGCTGGTTGGGTCCCTCTAGCAGTGTAGTTTGATCTCCCCTGACCTTCAGCAGAAGCTTCCATGAAGGCCATCATGGTGAGAGAGAAGGAAGGGGGGGGGGGGCACTGCTGGTTGGGTCCCTCTAGCAGTGTAGTCTGATCTCCCCTGACCTTCAGCAGAAGCTTCCATGAAGGACATCATGGCGAGAGAGAAGGAGGGGGGGGGGGCACTGCTGGTTGGGTCCCTCTAGCAGTGTAGTCTGAGCTCCCCTGACCTTCAGCAGAAGCTTCCATGGAGGACATCATGGTGAGAGAGAAGGAGGGGGGGTCACTGCTGTTCTGGTCCCTCTAGCAGTGTTGTCTGATCTTTCCTGACCTTGAGCAGAAGCTTCCATGGAGGACACCATGGTGAGAGAGAAAGGGGGGGGGGGGGGGTCACTGCTGTTCTGGTCCCTCTAGCAGTGTAGTCTGATCTCCCCTGACCTTCAGCAGAAGCTTCCATGGAGGACATCATGGTGAGAGAGAAGGGGGGGGTGTCACTGCTGGTTAGGTCCCTCTAGCAGTGTAGTTTGATCTCCCCTGACCTTCAGCAGAAGCTTCCATGAAGGCCATCATGGTGAGAGAGAAGGAGGGGGGGGGCCACTGCTGGTTGGGTCCCTCTAGCAGTGTAGTCTGAGCTCCCCTGACCTTCAGCAGAAGCTTCCATGGAGGACATCATGGTGAGAGAGAAGGAGGGGGGGTCACTGCTGTTCTGGTCCCTCTAGCAGTGTAGTCTGATCTTTCCTGACCTTCAGCAGAAGCTTCCATGGAGGATATCATGGTGAGAGAGAAGGAGGGGTGGTCAATGCTGGTTGGGTCCCTCTAGCAGTGTAGTCTGATTTTCCCTGACCTTCAGCTGAAGCTTCCATGGAGGACATCATGGTGAGAAAGAAGTGGGGTGGGGGGGTCACTGCTGTTCTGGTCCCTCTAGCAGTGTAGTCTGATCTTTCCTGACCTTCAGCAGAAGCTTCCATGGAGGTCATCATGGTGAGAAAGAAGTGGGGTGGGGGGGTCACTGCTGTTCTGGTCCCTCTAGCAGTGTAGTCTGATCTTTCCTGACCTTCAGCAGAAGCTTCCATGGAGGACATCATGGTGAGAGAGAAGGAGGAGGGGGGGGGGGGGTCACTACTGGTTGGGTCCCTCTAGCAGTGTAGTCTGATCTCCCCTGACCTTCAGCAGAAGCTTCCATGGAGGACATCATGGTGAGAGAGAAGGAGGGGGGGGTCACTACTGGTTGAGTCCCTCTAGCAGTGTAGTCTGATCTCCCCTGACCTTCAGCAGAAGCTTCATAGGAAGACATCATGGTGAGAGAAGAGCTAGATATTGCTCCTGGACAAACTAAAGAGGAATGACAAGGCTGATCATTTCAGTGCAACAGTTTTCAGCTTGCACAGGCAGCTTCATTTGCTTGGAGAGTGCCACCTGCCTGTGAAACGTTGGAAATATGACCTTTTATGACATTCTCAGATGTAAGAATTCATATTTATTAGGTACAAATGCAAATATTTTTAAGTATGAAACAAAGACAAAATATTTATATTCTTAAAATCATGTTTTATAAATAGATTTATAAAAGTCTGCCTTCAGATCTGCATTACTAAATGGCTCCATAGTTAGGGCTGAAAAAAGTCCATGAAGTTCAGCCAGTAACAGAAATCCTCCACATACAGAGCCCTGCACCCACGGTTCATCCAGAGGAAGGCAAAGAAAACCCCTAGAAAGCTTGGACTGATTTCCTCTGACGGGAAAAAATATTCTTCCTGATCCCCTAAGCCAGGGGTCTCCTTCTGTGATGGGGACACTCATGTCAGGGGTGACTCTGATGGGGACTCTCGTGTAGAAGGGTACTTTGATAGGGACTGTCATGCAAGAGGGTAATCTGAGGAGGACACTGATGTGAGGAGTGACCCTAATGGGACTCTCATTTAAGGGGTGACTCTGATCGGGACTCTCATGGAAGGGGTGACCTTGATGGGGGACCCTCATGGAAGTGGTGACTGACGGGGGCTGTCATGTAAGGAGTGACCTTGATGGGGACTCTAATGGAAGGGGTGACCCTCATAGGAACTCTCATGGAAGGGGTGACTCTGACGGGGACTCTCATGTTAGGGGTGACCCTGATGGGGACTTTCATGGAAGGGGTAACTCTGATGGGGGCTGTCATGTAAGGAGTGACCTTGATGGGGACTCTCATGTAAGGGCTGACTCTGATGGGGACTCTCATGGAAGGGGTGACTCTAAGGGGGGCTGTCATGTAAGGAGTGACCTTGATTGGGACTCTCATGGAAGGGCTGACCCTGATGGGGACTCTCACGGAAGGGGTGACTCTGATGGGGATTCTTATGTAAGGAGTGACCCTTATGGGGACTCTCATGGAAGGGGTGACTCTGATGGTGACTCTCATGTAAGGGGTGACCCTGATGGGGACTCTCATGTAAGGCCATAGTTTGGAGACCCCTGCCCTGAGGCCACCGAATATTCCCGGGATCCACATTCTCTGGTGTTATTCATTATAAATGTTATTAGTTCTATTCGTGGATTTTGGAATGCATCCTCTCGCCCCCCCTACCCCCTTCCCAAAGGCCTATCCTGATAGTCTCCCCCTCCATGCCTGATGAAGGCAGATATACTTACTCAAGTCTCTCTCTCTCTCTGGGTTTGGTGTGGGAGACCGTTGATCCAGAGCTGTGATGGCACCCCGAGACCACCAGTTCCTTGCCACCTCCATGTGATCACGCAGTCCTGAGAAGATCCCACCAGCAACCATTAACCAACTGCCATCCTGAGGAGATCCCACAAGCAACCATCAACCAACCGCCATCCTGAATCAACCAACCACCATCCTGAGAGGATCCCACCAGCAACCATCAACAAACCGCTGTCCTAAGAGGATCCTGACAGCAACCATCAACCAACCACCATCCTAAGAAGATTCCACTAGCAACCATCAACCAACTGTCATCCTGAGGAGATCCCACAGCAACCATCAACCAATGGCCATCCTGAGAGGATCCCACCAGCAACTAACCACCATCCTGAGAGGATCCTGCCAGCAACCATCAACCAATCACTGTCCTGAGAGGATCCTGCCAGCAACTATCAACCAACCGCCATCATGAAAGGATCCCCCCAGCAACCATCAACCAACCGCTGTCCTAAGAGGATCCTGACAGCAACCATCAACCAACCACCATCCTAAGAAGATTCCACTTGCAACCATCAACCAACTGTCATCCTGAGGAAATCCAATTAGCAACCATCAACCAATGGCCATCCTGAGAGGATCCCACCAGAAACCAACCACCATCCTGAGAGGATCCCGCCAGCAACTATCAACTAATCACTGTCCTGAGAGGATCCTGCCAGCAACTATCAACCAACCGCCATCATGAAAGGATCCCCCCAGCAACCAACCGCTGTCCTGAGAAGATCCCGCCAGCAACCATCAACCAACCACCATCCTGAAAGTATCCCCCTAGCAGCCATCAACCAAATGCTGTCCTGAGAACATCCCACCAGCAACCATCACCCAACCACTGTCCTGAGAGGATCCCACCAGCAACCATCACCCAACCACTGTCCTGAGAGGATCCCACCAGCAACCATCAACCAACCGCTGTCCTGAAAGTATCCCCCTGCAACTATCAACCAATCGCTGTCCTGAGAAGATCCTGCCCATAACTATCAACCAACTGCTGTTCTGAAAGGATCCCCCTGCAATTATAAACCAATTGCTGTCCTGAGAAGATCCCGCCCATAACTATCAACCAACTGCTGTCCTGAGAGGGTCCCCAGGCAGCCATTAACCAACCGCTGTCCTGAGAGAATCCCCCTAGCAACCATCAACCAATTGCTGTCCTGGGAAGATCCCATTGGCAGCCATCAACTAACCACTGTCTTGATAGGATCCCACCAGCAACCATCCAGTTGGAACTATCCATGTCTCACAGTCAGGGACGTGGACACCCTACAAAGGACCTCTTCAGGAAGTAGATAGAAAAGGAGATGACCCAGGCTGGTGATGTCAAGTGACCGGGGGGGGACGTGGACACCCTACAAAGGACCACTTCAGGAAGTAGATAGAAAAGGAGATGACCCAGGCTGGTGATGTCATGTGACCGGGGGGAAGTGGACACCCTACAAAGGACCTCTTCAGGAAGTAGATAGAAAAGGAGATGACCCAGGCTGGTAATGTCATGTGACCGGGGGGACGTGGACACCCTACAAAGGACCTCTTCAGAAAGTAGATAGAAAAGGAGATGGCCGAGGATGGTGATGTCATGTGACCGGAGGGACGTGGACACCCTACAAAGGACCTCTT